TGTGTGTGTGTGTGTGTGTGTGTGTGTGTGTGTGTGTGTGTGTGTATGTGACTTCAGAAGCCTCCTCAATGCTGACTTCATCTGGACTCCTCATGATTCCCTAGCAGTAGGCAAGGGACAGATACAAAATGAGATTCAGGGACTTGTCTGAGATTGGACGGTTAAATGGTCTTTGGATATTATAGGTATGTTTTCTGACTGTTCCTACTTTGCAGTAGCCAATTACTTAAAATAAATTTATTATTTAGTACATATTTGAGAAAGAGAATTACAGAGTAATTTTACTTATTTGGTAGTTTTCTGAACTAAGTATGGGGATCTGTAGGCGTGAATCTCCAGGAAGCCATCTCCTGTATTTTCAGCAGTTTTCTCTTTGGTGTGGATAATCCATAATAACTGCTAAGGTTAACACCCAAAAGTCTGCTGGAACAGCCTTGCTTATGACACTTACTCGTTAGCCAGGAATGTCCGAGGACTGTCAAAAGACTTCCGGCCCCTTTGCTAGAAGTACCTTGTCCATGAGCTCTACCAGCTCTACATAACTGTTATAACAAGAGCATCATTCACGATGGAGATGGACATCCTCTAGGATCCATGTAGAAGGCCTGACTTTCTGAGTGCCTCATGTGGGCCAGTGTTCATCTTGCTGTAGTCATTGCTTCCTAGTTTTGAAGGCTAATAATGAAGAGAAGGAAATGGAAGAGGAAGTTTCTTTTCCAGTCAGAAACACTGAAATATTTCTACAGCTACCCAGTTTCCTGATGCTTAGATTGTGCAATTTTGAGTAAACTCTGTCATCATTTCCAACATTTAAGTTCCCATTTAAGGGGAAATGCTCAAATGTAGAAAATGGGGTGTTAATTGAGGGGTGAGAAAGCTTGTGACAGGCTAGAGTCAAGTTAGGTCTTCTCTCACCTTTGTCTTGATTATCTAGAAGGACTTCCCTGTAATGCTGAACAGCAAGCGCAAATAATTAAATCAAATTCTAGCAAGTACAGTCTGCCGTAGCCTTAGTTCTTTATTCTTTGTGCCTTTTTTCTTTTTATTCTGGCTTTCACTTTTCCTTCTTACAGGTTAAGCCATTGAATTTCTTTGCTGGCCATGAAACTGTTTCTTGAAAGTTGAGTTGCAGTCAGGACCGTTCTCTGCAAGTCCCGCTGACTCCACTGCCCATCACCTACGATGCCTTTGCAGTGTGACTCCTCCTTGTCACTGGCAGGATGCTAATCGGCCAGTTATGGAAAGAGATTACATTTGTCCTCATTATCGTACCCACAGTCACTGTTCAGAAGCCTTGACCCTAAATGGTGTCCTATAAAACCACATAGATGCTAAAATCACAGTCATTTATTTTGTTTTTAAGACTTGGTCTCAAATGTCCCAGACTTGTCAGAAACTCACTATGAAGCTGAGGATGGCCTTGAACTCCTGATAAAGCTTGCTTCTTAAATGCTGGGATTATAGGTGTGTGCCACCATGCCTGGCTCGCTAACACATCAGTTTGAGAAGCAGTTTCCTAAATGTCTCACTGGCCAAGGGGGAGCCTTCCCATATGTGTAGCCTGGACTGTTTTTTAGTTTGTTCTATTTTCTCTCCTACACTGTATATTTTAAAGTCATTATTGGCTTTTGTGTCCAATCTCAACTTTCTGTGAGAGCTAACATTTCCCTTGCCACCTCTCTGACTGCAGGCCACACTGATTGGAAGCTACTCTTGAACACACCTCCTCTAGTTCCCTCCTTTCTGTGTACTAATAAAGCATTTTGTGGGAGGCTCTACCACCTTGAGGGGCCACTCTTGAGTGCTGGGAGTCCACAGGGAGACTGCAGAGGTGGGCCAGCCCTGATGGCTGGTGGTATTTGGTTTAAGTGGGTGCCCCACTCTTCCCGTAAGTGTTGACTCCCACGGGGCAGAGGGAGTGGAGAAACTGGTCTCTGAGAGGCTGTCTGGAGAGACGGGACCACTTCTGCTTTCCACGGGAAAGCTGTGTTGCTGAGAGCAGAACTCGGCCAGAGGGAGAGGCACAAAGGAAGTGATACCCCCCACGCCCTGCACACTCTGGTCATTTGCCTGCGGCCCCTCCCTTCAAATCACCCAGAATTCTTTTCCTGCAGGGTTCCATTGACCACCCCTGCTTGGTCTGCAGGTTCATAGTCAATTTTCCCTGGAGAGAGAGACAGAGGGATGGAGGGAGGAAAGGAGGGAGAAAAAGGGAGAGAAAGGGGACATGTGGAGGAGGAAGGTTGAAGACTCTCCTCAGGCAAAGGCCTCCAGCAGGAAGTTGTATATTTGGAAATATACAGTCTTGATTTTTCCAGCCCCAGAAAGATGTATATTTTGAAATTTCCCCTGGTGGAAACTCAAAGTAAGATTTCACAATCTTTAAATGGTCGCACAATATGCTGTCTTGACTATAGCAGTTTAGGGCTGTTTTTAAAGCTCCTGAATTATAATTAAACTCTTGGAATACAGCTGTGA